TTTCCCCCCCCCCCCCCCCCGCCCCTTTACACTCTTCTACCTCCTCCCACCCATATTTCCCTCTGGTAATCGCCATAACATTGTCTGTGTCTATTTGTTTGGGTTTTTTTGCTTCATCTTGACACTGTTTTCACCAAGCCCCCAAACACCTCAACCCTCTGACAGCTGCCAGTCAGTTCTATGTATCTATGAGTCTGTTTCTATTTTTTTATTTTGTTCATTAGATTCCAGATATTAGTGAAATTCATATGATACTTGTCTTTCTCTGACTAGCTTATTTCACTCAGAATAATACTCTCCATATCCATCCATGCTGTCACAAAGGATAAGATTTCCTTCTTTTTTACAACAAAGTAGTATTCCTTTGTGCAAATGTACCACAGCGTTTTTCTGTGTGTGTGTGTAGTTTGTTTTTTTTTCCTACTTAACTACTGATGGGCACTTAAGCCACTCCCAAATCTTGGCTATTGTAAGCAAGGCTGCAATGAACATAGGGGTGCATATATTCTTTCAAATTAGTGCTTTAGGTTTCCTCAGATATATTCCCAGAAGTGAGATCACTGGGTCATAATGTACTTCCACTTTTAATTTTTTGAGGTTACTCCATACTACTTTCCACAGTGGCTACACCAGTCTGCATTCCCACCAAGAGTGCACAGGGTTCCCTTTTCTCCACATTCTCACCTACACTTGTTTGTTGATTTATTAATGATAGCCATTCTGACAGTTTTGAGGTGCTATCTCATTATGGTTTTTATTTGCATTTCTCTGATGATTAGTGATTCGGAACATCTTTTCATATGTCTATTGGCCATTTGTATGTCCTCTTCAAAGAAGTGTTTATTCAAGTCCTTTGCCATTTTTAAATAAGATTGCTTGTTTCCTTGGTGTTGAGTTTGATAAGTTCTTTATAAATTTTGGATATTAACCACTTATCAGCTATATCATTGGCAAATATGTTCTTCTATTCAGTGGGTTCTCTTTACCTTTTGTTGATGGTTTCTTTGCTGTGCAAAAACTTCTTACTTTAATTAGTCCCTTGTATTTATTTTTTCTTTTGTTTCCCTGAACCAAGGAGATATGTCAGAAAAAAATATTGCTATGGGAAGTGTTTGAGATTTTACTGCCTATATTTTCTTCTAGGATTTTCATGGTTTTGAGTCTAACATTTAAGTGTTTAATTCATTTTGAGTTTATTCTTGTGTATCTTATAAGAAGGTGGTCTAGTGTCATTTCTTTGCATGTATCTGTCCAATTTTCCCAACACTAGTTTATAATAGACTATCTTTAGCCCATTGTATATTCTTGCCTCCCTTGTCACGTATTAATTGACCATAAAGGCATGGCTTTATTTCTGGGCTCTTTATTCTGTTCTATCGATGTACACATGCACAAGGCCCTCTTACCAGTGCTGGGCTGGGAGGCAGGTCAGCAAAAGTATGAAGGCACTCTGAGATCCACCTCCATTTGCCTCTGCCTGCGGACTGCCTTTTAGGTTAAGTCACTGAAAGAGCCTCTGGTAGTACTTGAGTTGCATGACGTAGGTTCACAGTGGGTCACCAGGTAGGGGCAAGTGGTGTTCACCAGATTGATTCAGTTTCAAACTTGGTGCCAGTGCTGGGTCTGAGCCACTCAAAAAATATCCCCAGGTATACCTAGCCTAGCTGCCACCCACTGGGTGTTTGCACATTGTAGAGTTGAGGCAGGGTCTCAGGAAGTCATCAGGGTGAGGCCAGAGAGCTTATCAGGCCAAACAGACCAATGTTTGACCTTGTGAAGAGAGGGCTGTGCTTCAGTCAGGCATGTGAGGGGAAAATGGTCCCTGCCCTGGAGCCATACAACTCAGTCCATCCCAGATTCTGCTGGGAGAGTAATTTTCTATGAACAATATTTGTACAACTTCGTGTTGCCATAGGCATATCTGGGGTATCTACGGTTGCTAGGTACTATGTTAGGGGCATTAATATGTGGGATCTGCTCACCCTGGTTATTATTTTATGTAAAAGATCTAATTTTTTTTCTAATTGATATTTGAATTAGTGATACTCTTTTGACTAACATGTATATGTTTTCTCTTTCCTTCTCTGACCAATGACAAGTAAAAGAAAGAATTATTCAATTTAATGAATATTTACCTAACAGAAGAAATAAGGGTGAATGTATTACTTTATCTGGATGGCCATATTGCTCAGTAAGAAGGAAAGGATGGGTATTGTTGCATAACTGGATGTTGCTACCACAATGAATGTACCCAGATACCTGCTTTCAGTGATTTTAAAATACTCTATAAATATTCATATATACTCATGAATATTAAAGAAGGAAAGCTTTAATATGATGTAAATTGTCATTTGAGGAACAGGTAGGACATCCTGGAATAGAAGTACAACAAGGTGTAGGAACTGTGGGTTTAAATAAAGGAGGAAATTCCTGCTTAAAAGAGGTATTAAAATATCTGATAAATAGGACTTTTTCAAACTACTCCCACTTCTGCCCACCCAGAGTTTCTGAGATGCCTCCATACCACCAAGTGTGTTCTATTTGTTGGGAATAACAAAGCAGTGGAAAAAGGAGACTAATCTAAATCCTTCACAAGTCTTAAAGCTGCTTAGAACAAGCAACTCTGGATATCAGATCTTTCTACTGATCTTACTAAATAAGGTCTTTGAATTTTGTTTCTGTGTCTTCCTCCTTTCAGGGTGCTTTTCAGGAAACAATGATCACATTTTGGCAATTCATCATAAGAGGAGTGGGAAGCCAGCATTTCTTTATCACCATTCACAAGACATTGAGAAGAGCCTGGATATAGCTCCACAGAAGATATATAAACATTCTTCTTCTGAAGCTCAAATAAACAAAAACCACCAAATTGTTAAGTCAGCATTTCTTAGGCCTGCATATGATCCATCGCTCAATCTGTTGGCCGTGGCCGGTCAAGATCTTGAAGTTGAAAACCTTCCAATCCCTGCAGCAAATGTAATTGTGGTGGTAAGTATTGCACTTAACTGATGTTTATGCTGGTGCTTTTCTCTGTGGTTGATGCTGAAAAAAAGAAGAAGAAAACTAATGATGAATAGTTATCTTTGGATTGTATTGACTTTTTTTTTTTTTTTACCACAAGACTTCTCATTCTCTAATATTTCTTTTTTGTTACTTTATTGTTGTTTCTTGGCTTCCTCTTGAATATGATGAGCCCAAGGAATAGAAAGCTTTGTCTGCATCCTCTGTGCATTGCACAGTACATAGTGCATAGTAGGTGCTTAATAAATATTTGAATTAAAAATTGCTTTAGGCAGGTCTTACAAGTATAGCAGATCACATCCTATACTGAGCCTCCTGCCTTCTGTGATAATCTCTTCTAAGCAGATATGACTTAATCTCTTTATACAGGTAAGCAATACTTATGAAAAGTCTCTGGTCACTTTACTCACATTGTAAAAAATGAAGAGTCCACTGAAAGGGAAGAAGTATCATAGGTGGAGGGTGGTTTTCTGTCACTGGAGTAAATAAGATGGTTTGGGAGTAGTTGATGGATAATATTCCTAACATCACTGAACAAACATTGCTCTTTATTAGTCAAGATGGTGCAATGGTCCCATTGCTTATATTCTTAGGGTATGCAACCCAGGCCTGAGGTTCCCAATTTGTGGAGGTATCATGGCTTAAATACATACTGAGGTTGATACACTGTTTAGATGATAGTCCCTCTCAAGTTTAAAATTACTATAGGAGGCTCCACATTAAAACTACAGATCAGTAGCTAACTGATATTGCATATGTTGATATGCAATATAAATATGTTGATTATATTTTGGAGCAGATAATTCAATGAAGCCATGTTTGCATTTTGGTAACCTCTCTCTGGACAAAATATAATGAAATTTAACAAGCTTTTTTCCTTTTAAAAAATTTTTTATCTGCTATATATAGGACACTTTACTTAGTATTAAGAATAAAAGACCCATTTATTGATGTTTTCAAATAGCCTACATTGAATATTTATTATATTCCAGTCTTTATTTGGGGTATCTAGAAATAGAGACAATTAATATGGAGCCTCTGATTTTATTTGAGAAATGCATGGAGAGAAATCTCAGTAATTCGATAAAAATCATAAATTGAGACGCAAGATGAGCTCTTGTTAAGAGAAAATCTGTGAGTCATTTGCCTCTTGAAATACTTGAACAAATTTTCTGCATTTACATGAGTAACAGATGTTCTGAAGGTGCAATCCATGTATTTAGTAAAGGTAAATGATGTTAATGATGTCGCTGTATTTGGATATGCCTGTGATAATGCTAGAGCTCATGGGAAATAGTTTCTCTAGTAGCCATCATATACCCATAGTTGTGAACTCTTAAAGTCACTGTGAATTATAGTTCAAAAGGTTTGTTCTATCTTGTAATCTCATATACTGTCTAGTTAATTTAATATCGTGCAGGATAAAAAGCATCAGTGAAGAATTCTGGCATGTAATTTCACTTTTAGTTTATTTGTGGTTTGGAAAGTCATGAAAAAGATGTGCTTTTTTTTTTTTGCGGGGGCGGGTGATGATAACAAAGATGCAATAGGCTATTTCACTGCATTATCCTTCCCTAACTACTCTTAAACTATTTCTAACCATTCTGTGGCTTTGATAGTTTGCAACAATTGCTAGTGCTAATGTTTCCTATAATCCACTTACATTACTTATGCACATAGTGATTTAGTAGAAAAACCTGGGAAGTGGAATTATTTTAAAATAAATCAATAATGTTCAGCTTACTAAAAAACAAAGGGTCAACATTCAATCAAGTATCGGCTGGTTTGAAGGTTCATCTATCCAGAAAAGAAATTTAGGAATGGAGTGTAGATGATGAAAGGGAGATATTCTGGTGACTAAAATGACCTTGATGAAATAAATGATAGGTCTTTGTGTGGCCAGGGTGTTCATGTATTATATATATACTAGAGGCCCCCAAAATTTGGTGCACTCAGGGGTCCCTCAGCCCAGCCTGTGCCCTCTCGCAGTCTGGGACCCCTCGGGGGATGTCCACCTGCTGGCTTAGGCCTGCTCCCCGGGGAATTGGGCTGAAGCTG